ATATTGCCTTTTACTTGTCAATGGGAATAAGTCTGTCCATCGAATTACGAATCCTAATAAGAAAGGCGTTTTCTTTTCTGATAATTCTGTATTAGATTCTGTTCAAATGAAGGAGCTACCAAAAGAGAGGCGAAACAGAAAATAAACTGACAATGGATAAAAAAGAAAAAGACAAAAAAGCAAAGACACAATATAGAACATAAAAAATGGAGTAGCACACCACAAAAACTGAGGGTGATATTAGGTGCTCAGGAAGGGTAAACATGTGGCACCCGTAGTGTTTTTCATGTAATTATGAACCCAGTAATAAGTCTAGTTCGGTAGGTACTAAAATATGACATTATTCAGAAATCAAAAGGTGAATTGGAGGCAGTATATGTAGTAGTTTTGTGCCTCAAGATAACATAACAGCTTCAGTTTTGTGGCGATTTTCGCTCACTGAACCAGGTCTAATCCACTATTTTATTCTTTTCTCTCGTTGTGGCGATATCTTTCTACTGCTTATAAATCTGCCTTTGTAAAACCTAGGTGAAAATATCAGTAGAGGAGACTTCCGTTTGGAACAGCTTCAGCACTGATTCAATTCGGTATATGCTTACAGATGTGTTACATGATCTTAATTTCCAAATAGCTTTCAGTAGAAACTTTGACGACCATAGGAACATATTAAACATCTACAGTTGGTTTTTGGTAGACTTAACTCTGGAACCAGGCAAATGTGAGTTTCCACAAAAAGAGATTCTCTACCTTGGTCAATATTGCCTAGTCTCAACATTGACTGAACATATCTTACTTGACTGCAACCGAAGTGTCTGGCCAGTACTGAATTTACCGCAGTGGATTAGTCTGACAATTAACTGAAAGCCTAAAAATTACTTATAAACTTGTTGGTCAGTCAGATTTGTACCGTTCATATTGACCGTTTCAGATCTAAATTGGGTAACTAGGGTGCTTATAGTCAATTCGAAATCCACACCGACCATGAGGCTCTCAAATGGCTCTCAAGTAAAAAACATTCTACGGGTAGATTGGCTCGCTGGTCTGTCTTATTACAATGGTGTGACTATTCAATTTGTTCTCGTAAAGGCCTACGAACACACATGCAGACTTTCTGGTAGAGAGAAACTATAATCTGACAATAATCGTCAAGAACCAGACAACAGTTTTCCCTCGATTGACTGATGAAGTAATTTTGTTCTTCCCAGAAACCCCATCTTTCAAAACCCGTTTAGTCTATCTGGACACTCACACGGAATTCAACATCAGCAATGAAAACATTAAGAGATGCTAAAAAAGAATATCCAGTTTTTAAGGACCTGTATATATATTTCTCAGATGATATTCTATTTGAAGACAAAAAAACGAGCTGTCAAGGTAAAACATGACTTCCAACAGTATTGCATACTAGATGGAGTCCTGTGTCATTTCTCCCAACTAATGTCAATTGTCATTTTAGAAGAAACTCTTATATGACGGAGCGCTGTTTTTTTCATTTTGCATCAATTTTTGTATATTTGTAGTCAGATGTATTTATCTTTAGTTATTGCCTATTATTTTTTTAATATGTAAAGTTATTCTGTAATGTTTTACACCTATGCCCTTTCTGATTATTCATAAACATAAAAACATGCACTCATGCATTAGGATTTATTTCGTCCATAGCTAGTTGTAAAATATAACAGTGTATTTTTTTACACCACTTTGTATTTGACACATCTGCTACGAATTCCGACCATTCCTCGTACATGATGATCTTGAAAACAACAGGCCCCTTAAAGAGTTGTGCAAGGGAAACTTAACTTGCTGAGAGCATGGCACTTTCCATACACGAGGCATCGGATTTAACGTCCACATGTCTGCATATTTATTCATCCTAACAACCAATAGATTCACCGCTTAAACAAAGGTGTACTTTTGGATGGGAGAAGTCCAGGGATGACTCTTTTTCCATACCCCAGTCAATTATTTCGTCTTAATGAAATAAGATATGGGAAATGCTTTAATGATTTAGAGGTCAATGTACAACAATACACAGCATATTTAACAGAATATCAAACTCTAAACTGGCTTATGCTTGAGTAGAAGGTAATAAATTAAGCTAAATTTACCATCAAATGTATGTCAATCAAGCCATTTGACCACGACCACAATAAAACTATATAACAAAAAGAAGCCGTTGACACAAATATGTGGTATTGAGGAAAACGTTCAAACTCTCGTTTTGATCTTGATCGGGGTAATTTTAAATGGCTTATCAAAGCATATACAATGGATATCTTATCCTCAAAAGAACTCTATATTAACGTTTGTTAACACATGTGAAAGCAAAACAACAATAAGCAATACAATTTCATAGAATGCCCGTGAGGTCAAAGCACCAAACCTGATAATAAAACTATACTCTAATATCGATATTCAATGTAGATTTCATACTTCAAAGTCAAACATTATTACATGTAAACAGTACTTGTTTTTGTTTAAATGTCTTTTTGATTACGTTTTGCCATTTCAATGTATATTTTATAGTGCGTCTTATTATGTTGTAATGTTACACAACTGTCTCAGGTTATGGTGAAGGTTAGCGCCTGTTTAAAAGTTTAAACCCGATGCATTTTTATGCACCTGTCCTAACCCAGTAGCCTTTTGTTCAGTGGTTGTCGTTTATTGGTGTGGTCCATAGGTGTTTTTCGTTTCTCGTTTTTTATGTAGATTAGACGAGTGGTTTTTCCTGTGTTACAATAGTTATTTTGGGCCCTTTATAGCTTGCTGTTCGCTGTAAGCCAAGGCTGTGTGTTGAAGGCCGTACTTTGACCTATAATTTTTAACCTTTCATACATTGTGACTTGGATGGATAGTTGTCGCATTGGCACTCATACCACATCTTCTTATTCATATATTTATCTTACCTACTATACATTTTTAGGACTATGATTGGTTAAAAGCAACCTCGTGGAGACTGTGTATATTTCATATGGGGTTAGTAGGCGAGGTTTATTTCAGTACACGGTTAATAGTGGTGTTACGTTCCTTTTTAAAAACAACACAGTGATGAGGAAAATTCTAAAAGGTTTCAACAGACCAAGAAATTGACGATGAAAGATTGAAATAAATTCTAAAACACATTTAAAGCTAACAAGTTGTTTTTGTTGGCATTTGTTTTTTGTATGGACCAATGGAAGTAGGTCCTTAATACTAAGTATTGAAGACGTGATCACTTTGATAGTCCACTAGTCTGAATACCACATGTTAAGATAGTCCGTTTAGATAATTTCGTTACACAGTGTGCTAGTGACCTAATACGATATAGCACACTATTTAACATGTTTAACTAATAATATATATCAACCTGTTTATCAACATGTATCTTATTATTCCATTTCGATTTAAAATCGTTCATTCTAACATGTCTAAGGAATAACAGAAAGACGAAAGATACAAAATGGATATTCTAACTCATAAGTAAAAAACAAAAAAACCTGACAATACCATGACACAAAACGTCAAAAGATGAAAAGACAAACATCAGTACACAGAGCACAACATTGAAAATTAAAGACTGAAAAACACAAACCCTACCAAACCCGGGGAATAAAGGGATATACAAGTTTTTTTCTATGTTTTACTAGTATATCTAACGGTTTGTAAGCCAGTATAGGTTCAATGATACACGCAAAGATCTCTTCACTAAAAGGGTTTTTGATTTTCGGCGGAGATCTTTCAAAGTCAACATTAAATTATAATTGAATTTTTACTATTAAAAACAGTGACCGAAACCAATACAAATGTAATACATTGATTTATTTGCATTGTATATACTGAATTATAATTTATATTAATATATATACAATATGATACATCAACATCTCCCCGAATTTTGAATTTAATGGCAACCAGAGCATTAACCACTTAGCTTCAGTTTTGTTTAGGTGATGGCGGTTCTATACTCTGTGGTTTACATGTTGTAATGTACAATTATAGTATTTATTTATGTATTTCTCTGTGTGTTCTTGCGTTTGTTTGTACAGTATTTTTGTCACGTAGTGTTGTCATTTTAGCGATATTTTTAACATTGCCATATGAGCGGAAGGTTTGGCTAGCCATAAAACCAGATTCAACCCACCATTTTTTCTTAAAATGTCCTGTATGGCAGTTGTTATTAAATAGTACGTTTCTATGTATGTTGGTGTAGGTTTTTGTTTGCTGTTAAGTGTTTCTGTTGTTCCGTTGTTTTCCTCTTATAGTTGGTGTGTTTCCCTCGATTTTAGTTTTTTACCCGGATTTGTTTTCGCTTAATAGATTTATGACTATTGAACAGCGGTATACTACTGTTGCCTTTATTTACCATGTGTTCTTTTTTGTGCTCTAATATGATTTTCATAAATAAAATATCAATATCATTATGCCAATTCTTATTCGACTTGTTATTTTCACTGCCTCGTTAATCTCGACAATATTGTGTGAGAACAAATCTTAATTGACAATGTTAATAAGTTAGACAAAGTAATGTTTTACTAATTAAATATATTCAAATATTGCACAAAGGTGTTTTAACTCTCTCAATGTAATTACTTTAACTGATATTGAAAATATATGATTTTATCTTATAGATGCCTTTTTGATACGTGGGTTGATCTCGCTGGCGTTTATAAAATTTGTATTGCAAAACTATGTGTTTGCATGTTTGTCTTAGATGCAAATTTCTGTGACTTTGACTATTTCATGCCGGATATTTATTTTATACTGAAAAAGCCCTCTTTCCCGAAGAAAATTACCTCCTATTGGCAGGAAACTAAAAGTAGCTATCCTTATTAATTGATATCGTAGTACAAAAACACCTCTCCAAGAACAGGACTTGAAACCCGAACCTCAAAAATGACAGGGAAATGATTACAGAGGATGAACAACTTAGACACTTTAGCCGATGAGACCCTATGAAAAATCGGAGTAACCTTTTGTATCCTATCAACTCAAACCGTTGGCATATATTTGACAAATAATGATTGCAGTTTTGAAAATCTTTTATTTTATAAAAAAATGAATACTTTTTTGAAAGATTTATCTATTTTGCATGACTTTGTGTTATATATTATTATAGCATTCGACAGAATGTTTTGATAAAAGACTTTGTGATATTACGACTAACAATTATTAAATTGTCCACCCAAGAGTTTTGTTCGTGTATCAGAGCTTATATCCTGCCATTTATGATTCCACTGGCAACTAGTTGTATGGTATGTTGAACCACTTACAGCTCCTGAAATATGAATAAGTCATGCAATGATACATTTATGTTTTTTTTTCCGCCGTGTTTTTCTTATTTTGTTTGATAAATGGACACCTCAATTCTTTTAAAATCCCTCTCCGAACTACTATCAAGTTTATCCTTCTTGTTGCAATTATTCTGTGTTTCTATATGATAAGTTTTTTTATTAAACTTTAAACAAATGCTTAGCAACATAGCTTCATAACGCTTTCCGAAACCATTCGTTATTACAGTATAACAGAAAAGTGGTAAGAATTCCAATGAGACATCTAGCCAGTAATGCAAAATTACTTGTATTTAAGCAGCTACATATCCCTGTAAGGATGTTAAAATAGATATTGTATAGTCAGCTGTAAAATGCCTCGACATGACAAAATGTGAAACAATTTAAACGGAAAAATCAGTTATCCAATTTATCATAACCAATATAAAAAAGAAATGATAAAGAGCAACGAACGACAACCACTAAATCACTTGGATCAGGCACATAAATAATGTGATGGGGTTAAACATGGTTTAAGCTTCCACGTATGTTAGTTTTGCTCACGCATTGTACTAAATATAATGGAATGTTATGCAACTGTCATACAAGCGAGAGGTTTAGGTAGCTATACAACCAGGTTGGATCCACCATTTTCTACATAAGGAAATGCCTGTACCGAGTCAGGAATATGACAGTTGTTTTCAATTCGTTTGATGTGTTTCAACTTCAGATTTTGTCGTTTGTTAAGAAACTTTCCGTTGGGGTTCGGTCTTTTTGTTATTGTTTTTGTTGATACAAACTTAGCGAAAAAAGATAAAAAAACGATATGCATGGCTATGAGAAGTAACTGTTGTCTTCAAACACAACAAAAAATGTACAATATATATATGCAGAGTAGCGTGCCATCTTGTAACGGTACGTAAGTCAAAATACAAACCCCCATCACTGAGCTATTGTATTATGATTAATGATATTAAAATGTTGACGAGGTTCATTTGTAAGTTCGGAATAATGATTTCTTGTTTTGCACATTGTCATAGATTACATAATTCACATTGTATTCATATCAACGATATAAACAAGGTTTTTTTATTCATCTAAAAAATCATTACTAATGATTATTGATTATGCAGGTATTGATTATGCAGGTACAAAAATTAATAATTGAGAAAAAATCACATATAAACTTTAATGAATTGCTTACTAGTTATACTACCGCTGTAAACATAATAAGGTTGATGAGCGATATTACATGATACTCTGATTCTGATCTGTAGTTCAATTGGAAACTGCGATAAACATCATTTCCTTTACGGAGAGAAGTATACACATAACCACCCCTACCTAACAAGGAATATAATCAAAGTACTCACCTGACAACAAATATACAACTCCTTTCTTAAAATTGACCGCACACGTAGCTGAACTTCTGGCGGATCGAACTTTAAGTGTGTTTGAAACCTTGATCTGTGACATAAAAAAAGACATAAACAGATTGATAAGGTATGATAAGGTATGATTTCAGTTTTCTTTTAAATTTATAATCGATTTGTTACTTAACACTATCTTTGCTTTTCGTTTATATCCCGAAAATTTCTACAGTTTTTGGTTGAATATAAAGATAAGGAGCTGTGGTATGATTGCCAATGAGACAGCGATTGATGAATTTCATTGGAGGTTGTTTAACATGAAGTTGTGTTTTTGTTCTTTATTTTGAGATCGTTTGGAAGAAAAGAAGTATTGTCAATGGTTTTTTTAATCATACAATAAACATGATAAAAAGGTTAAATGGGACGAAAGCAAATTTCCTGATTTCCAATTTTCTTCAGGTCTACAAACCAACTACTAATGTTCAAAAATTACAACAACAAAAAACATTTTGATTAACAAATCAAATATCTATCTACGTTGAGTATATGCCTCTTTCTGCTCCTGTAAACAAAACACTTGATTGTGTATCTCAATAGATTTAGTATATAGGGGTTTACAAACCATGAATACATAATATAAAACGAAGATGAAGAATGATTTAATTCCGATGAATGCCAATGAATCAACTATCTATCCGAGTCTTAATGATGCTGAATTCAGCACGCTTAACTAGTTCAAATATGAGCAAAACCCCTACCGTATAAACAGCTAAACAAGATTTCGTCATGAACAAGTCTAAACAATTCAAACGAAAAAACCAACGACCTGATTAATAACAAAAATATAAACGAAAAACAAATGCAACAGACAGCAATCAAAGACAACCATTGAACTACAGACTCTTGACTTTAGACAGGCACCAGGTATTTTTTAAGCACATTATTACTTGGATCGTTCAATATATGTCGCAATGCTTTAGTCTTTTTAGTATGAGATTTGTCAAGTATGGCAATAAAAACGCTATTAGTTTCTTGTTTAAATCAATATACGGACTATTGTCCATTGGAAACTCTTTTACAATTAATTTACGGACTATTGTCAATTGGAAACTCTTTTACAGAGCAAATTAAAGTTGGTGTTCTTATCTCTATGTCTTTGAATGTGTGATAGTGTGTTTTGTCATGCATATACATTTAAAACTCTAAAACGTGACGTGTAGTGTCGATCATTGTCGCTCTTAGTGGTTACCCTGCTTGAGTAGTTTTGCGTTTTGAACATATCTGTGATAGAGAACTCCGTAACAAGAGAACTAACAGATGCTAAACGTATCATTTAAAAATTAAAAAACATTTTTAAAAAAATGTCACACGATTGTCGAATACACACATCGGCTTTACATACATGAATGCAGACCGTCTAGTTCGGTGATCTCTTCAATGTCAAAAAGCAGAAACCTACTCTTCTTGAAAGCTAGAGGTAATTTTTTTCTTTTTAGTGCTAGAAGTATTTTTAATGCAACACTGCCGACTGTTATGCTTGTTTTTAACCTTTCAAAGGTACCAGAATGTAATATGAGTCACAGAATTATCCAAAAAATGTTAAATCGACACTAACATATTTTAATAAGATTACTAAATGCAAAACATTGTCTGAATTAAAGCTGTTGCACTCATCTAAATATTGTTAACAAGAATTAAGATATAAAGTTTTGAAGTTTTTTAAAATGTTGTTTGAAGGGATAAAATTAAATATCTATAACGAAATTAGGATACTGATATTTTACAGAATATTTCTTGTGAACAATTGATGGATATTATTCCAATTTCATTGAACAAAACAATCGCCTTATAAACTTCCTCTGCATGAACCTCTGCAACGCATCTTAACGTGTATTTTAAGACTCATATTATATATTACCTTAAAATTATGGTTCACGGCCACTGTGTATTCAACTTGATCTGCGCTCAGGTTCTTAATTCCTGTAACCTTTCCTCGTGAAACTAAAAATATAATCAAAGCTTTTCAAAAACTGGCGACCAAAACCTGTAGTTATAAATAAGAAGATGTGGTATGAGTGCCAATGAGACAACTCTCCATCCAAGTCACAATGTATTAAAAGTAAACAATTATAGGTCAAAGGACGGCCTTCAACACGGAGCCTTGGCTCACACCGAACAGCAAACACTATAGTGTTTGTATATAAGTAAAACTGAATAGAGGAAGTAGTAACGGTAAGTAATACAAGACAGCTTAATGCTTTGTGTTGATAAAACAAGATTAATTTGAAGAAAAAAAATAGGCATTGATTTTCTATTGATTTTTCTTTATTCCATAGTCTTTTAAATTCTATATTTTTATAACGATCAAAAGGTACTCAATTCAACATAGAACATAAAAGGGCATTAGCTGTCAAATTCATGTTCACCGATTTAACTCAAATTCTGATATTTGATTTATAACATACTAAAACTTATAAAAATTAAAAATAAACAATTAACAATGCATGGACTCGATAATATGTATTAACATTTCAAGGCGTATTTTTGTCTAGACGTCAATTAATTAACCATCGAGACAACCTCCGAAGACTGCCTACGGTTATAAAACGATACAAACATAGTTGTAAATATAAATAGATAGCTACCACGTGGAACTGGGTTTTTCGAGGTCTGTATTGTAGGTTAAAAAGTATGTTTAGCATCGTTTTTACTTGAAACATGCGTAACCCATCTCCAGCACAGGGGTTAAATAGATTGTCACATAAATATCGATTCAATGAGGTGAATAATTTATCAGCGATGGGTTTTGTTTTAGCTTATTTTGACAAAATTGAAGCAAACTGGCTGCTAAAAGCTAATTATTATTTCACTATTCCACTTTCATAAATGATTGAACAGAAAAAAACCGTATTCTATTTTTTTTTCATAACTCGTATCTAATGCCCTTTTAAGGTAAAATGAAAAAAGTTGCAATAATTATCATTCTCATGAAAGTAAAAGATGATTGCAGAATAAGAACAAATTAACCTTTGTAGAAACATTGAAAAAAATATAGAAATTGGTTCATTTAATGAGATGCAAATTTTTGTTTAGGGTTTCAATATTCACCAAAGAGATGGTTTATTGCAAATGATACGTGACTACATTTCAACTGCATTAATATATCATCATAACGAAGTTGTTGCATGTCCTACAATTTTGAATACTAATTATTGATTGGTTTTTTCAAGGGTGCTTAACGTCCGCGGGAGATAAGATACAAGTAGGACAATAAAATGCCAAAGGTATTTGTTCTCCATACGTAAAATATGTGTAAATGATCTGCTTTGTATTATGCACGATGAGTTGTGTTGTTTTTTAAAAGCCAGCTCTGAATTGGCTAGACGGTGAAAAACGGATCTATCTGAAAAAATACCTGATTTATTTCGTGCGTCTGAAGCACTTGTCTGAAATATATTTCATCTGCAAAGCTCAAACCTAGACAGAATAGCCATGTTCATGTAATTTATATTTTCGGGTTTGTCACGGAATGAAAATAAAAACCTTTATTTAATAGTATTCGAGGCATAGATATGTTGTAGTGATGTAGTAAGTACAATATGCAAGACGACCTTAATGTTAAATAGAGACACATCAAGTTTTATAGATTTCCGTTTTCCAACTGAATTATTTGTATTAAGTGTCCTATACAATTATAGACATCCAAATTATGTTAAAATTGAAGAATTTATAAAATCGAAATCTTTTTAATATCTGCATATATATACGGCTATTACCGAATTTAGCGCTACAGAACAATTCTTGATTTGTACCACCAGAACATGTACATCCATAGGCCTCGGAAATGACATTTATCAGCACAAGACAAACGATGATTACTATCGTTAGCTTCATGGTTATTCTGAAATAAAGACTACTGTATTTTATTCAGTAAATGAGCCGTCATTTTACCTTATAAATGTTTCAGAAAACATGTTTTACGAAAAATGAAATATCACTTATACTGACTATAATAGCAGATACGCTTAAAAAAACGAGTATGTTTAGATTAGCTGAGTTTGTTGTTTACAGTAGACATAAAAGACGAATTTAATTTTCTTTGATTGACAAATAGGAAATATGAACAACGCAAAATATATATAAAATGTATAACTCAGTTGAATCGCAATAAAGAAATAAAATCCTCACACCATAACAATATGCAAAAATTATGGCGACAGTTGTTTAACGATGTTCAAATCTGGTAAATCGATGAGGAAAAATAAATTAAAAAAAAAACACAACGTAAGGTATAAATATTCAAACAGCGAGACAAGAACCAACAAAACCCCTAACGTGTTGAAGTTCTTATCAACATGGCATAAAAATTTAAAAAAAAATCAAATGTGGAATCAGGGCATATATTTTTTAAACATTGAAAATGATAGAGGTTACTGGTTTTTGTTTTAAGCATTGACTTAAAAAAAGTGGAAGGATGCCAATATATTAAGGAAGAGATGAAAATATAAGGAACTACAATTTATCAAATTATAACAGATTTTAACAGTTAGATACAACACATTTCATATCTTATTAATCATGGAAACAAAATTATATATTATATAGTGAAGCACAACAAGTATCTTACCTTTAGTTATTGAATAAATAGACGTGCCTTGTCTGAATTATCAAACCGTTTATATATACACTTGTGAACCGGATTTCGTTATAATTAATCCATATTATTAACTCTTAAAACAACCTTTGTATGACAAGGTTGTGTTGTTGCGCATCCATTATTTGTCAAAAAAATCTGTTTTATCTTCTTAAAATGATAAGTTGTGTTGTAAATATTTGAAGATTATTTCTCCTTTATGGTTTGTAAAGAAGTCAAACTCGTGTAATATATAATTTATGCATCTATGTCCTTTCAGAATATTTTGAAAAATAAAAATAAAAATAGGTACATCAATATAAAATATATATTACACAAAGGACTGGTAAATACATTGTCATTTATAATTTCTCATTTCAAACTTAACATTTCTCATTTCAAATTTAACATTTCTCAGTTCCAACTTGGCATATCTCAGTTCCAAGTTGACATTTTTCAATTCTAAGTTAACATTTCTCAGATTCAAGTTGGCATTTATTAAGGCGACTATCGCTTACGTATGCTAAAATTTTGCAAATCGATTAGAAAGTACAAACAACAGCTGAGTGAATCACATGAACTCCAAAAATATCGAGAATGGATGCGTCGACAGGATACACTTCTCCTGCTATCAACTTCCAGATCAAAGTTGGCATTTCTAAGTTTCAAGTTGACATTTCTCATTTACAAGCTGACTTTTCTCAGTTTCAAGTTGACATTTCTCAGTTACAAATTGATATTTCTCAGTTTCAAGTTGACACTTCTTATATCCAACTTTTCATTTCTGACTTCTAAGATGGAAATCAGAAGTTTCAACTTGAAATTTAAAAACGCCGACTTGAAAGTAAGAAATATCAACTTATGGATATTGATATGGAACTGGAAAATAACAAATTTAACTAAACAATGTCAATTTGACAGTAATAAATGCTATAATGGAAATGAAAATTTATAAAACTTAAACATCCCAACAGTCTTTTGTTATATTATACTTACAGCGAGAGGAATAATCAAAACAATACCCAATGTCACTCTAAGCAACAGTTACTTTCCTCCCACATTCCTTGTTGAGGATGACATTGAAACCCTTGCAAATAAAAACATATTGTAAATTCAACATTTAATTTCAAAATATCTAATGATTATGTTTTTCGTAGGGTTGGTGTCTCACTTAGGCGCTCGAATCCTTTTCTACTGCAACCATGCTATTTGCACATTTTCATTTCCTGATTTAATTGTATTGACATTTTGTACAATGAAAGCACGTTATGGTACGTAACTGTCAGAAAATCAACCATTAAAGATAAGTTTGATTCAATCGACACAGATTCAAATCTCAGGAAAACATTTTGGTGTACAACTTATACATATGCAATGTAAGTAATTAAATCATCGAAGAGATTTTCTGAAACCCTGATTTTTCCTTTATCATTTAGAATAATGAAATACACCGACTTTGCTATTTTGGTTTGTGTTGTCATCACTGTTCATATTAATCCTTCAAAGAACCATATAGTAGAAATATTTGATCATATTGAAGTAGTGTCCATTGTAAGTCACTATGTCATTAGTCTAATATATAAAATCTACTTTTTATCATCATAATCACATTAACTGGAAACGTAGAACTACTTGTATTGACTCAGTTTGAAAGTCTTGCTACGCATGTATGATTTTCCAGAGATTCCGACGTCTACTAAAACAAGCAATATGACACAACCGTTAATAAGTTCTGATCTTTATTTCTTGGCTTTTAGCATTGCACACATAGTAAAACTGTAATACACTGTTTTGACGTGTATTGCTAAAAAAATATGAAAAAAATACCGAACTCCAAGATAAATTCAAAAAGGGTGAAATCGTTTAGAATTAACAAAATAAAAAAATAGACTATATCGACAATAGAAACAAATGAGAAACAATGACATATTCCTAAATTGGTACAGCCATTTCTTAGGCAATTGCTGTGTTAAACCTGGTTTTATAACTCGTTAAACCTCCCACTTGTATGACAGTTGTTCTAAAGTTGCTCATAACTATTCATATTATTGTTTAAGAGAAATACTGGTACAACAAAATTTTGGTTATTGTTGTATAACTTATACAGTATAGTTTTGATGGTTGAAAGCGCACTCAACCATTTTTTTTAATATGTTGGATTAACAATAGTCAATAAAGTCATATTTGTTTCATTGCTAGAAATACTCATTTACTGTACGCTAATTTCTGACGTCATTTTGTTTTATGGGCACACTGGATCCCTGCATCTTTGACCTGACAATGTCATCATGTTCTGCTAATATATTCCGATCATCTGTGTTTTATTTAACCTTTGATACAGAAATGTATTAACTCTATCATTTATCTAAGCTGCGATATTAATATAATCCTATTAAGAAATTCGTCCCTTTGATCAACGTACAAAAGACGTAAAAAATATCGTCTAAACAAAATGACAGAGACAGATAACGATTATATTCAAGTGCATTGGGAATGTCAACAATTATTGTTTTGATTGCTTAAACACTGTTTTCCCAATTTTGGCTTATATTGAATATCCAAACTTGCTGTTTTTACTTAATATAGAGAGAGGAATCCGATTAGAATTGACAGACTGAGAGAGATCGTCATTGGTATTCAAGGTCGTTACACTACTCCATATGACCTCTAACCAGCATGCTTGTTATAAAATGAAATATCATGTGTACTGTGCATTTAATTTTTATCAAATCTTCTCACCGTTTTAATTTGAGTGCTATCGATGAGTCTTATGTAGACGGAACGCGTGTATTGAGTATAAGCCTGGTATACTTGATGATTATTAGTAGGAGTATTAGTAGAAATGGTAGAAGTAGAGTTTGATTATTAGAAGTAGAATTTGATTAGTAGAGGTAGAAGAAGTTGTAGTAGAAGTAGTAGTGCTAGTAGTAGTAGTAGAAGTAGTAGTGCAAATTGTCGAGAAATCTTTTGATCAAATTTGTATCTAAGCCTTACCAATCTTATCAATATATATTTGCAATGAACGATCAGAAAAGCTTCACAATTGCTTTAAGCAGTCTCAGGAAGTATTTTAATATTAAACTGATCCTTAAGAGGCCTACATATTTTTCGCCTAGTATATCCGCTGTTGACCGTAGAATGAATAAAATTGATATTTTTTCAACATTGTACATGTATACTTGTTATCTTGGAATTATTTGGTATTAACTGATATAAAGTATTACTAACTTCAATGATTCTTGCTATAAGATGCTTTATGAACTATTGCATTTTGATAAAAAGAAGGCAGACATTACATCGTCGATTACATCCACGATAACAATGGAAATGGCAGAATAATACTGAAGTGACATTCCTCGTTAAAAGAACTTACTGCCGTAGTTTAATGTTACAATCCTGGAATGTATGATATATTAACCTGGTCTATTTAAACTTTCATTGCTTCTCTTTTTATTCTAGTTGTCTGAAAAGTGTGTATAACTACTATTATGAAATAAACATTCAGTAAGCTATTGAAGGTTTACAGCTTGATGTTTCGTCCTTTTTAAGAAATACTCTATTAACTGTTAAAAAAGTTTTGATATTTAACGTGTTTGTTTTTTATTTGTTTTTTTGCCATGTTAGTTTTTTGTTTGTTTGTTACCATATTAGTTTTATTGAAATGAATTCAGAAAACAGAGTCATTAATTCGTGCTTCTTTTCTGACCGACATATCATATCATACATCTGATATAAGTCATTCTGCAAATTATGTGTTAAAATGAAAAGGATATTGTCACCCCAGATTTCAAACTATTTTTCGTTTTTAATTAAAACTATCAAAAACATCAAAACCTTAAATTTTCAGAATTCAAATATCAGTTGTCTTTTGGGTAAAGAACAAATTGTTTAAAACTTAACAATTCATCGAAAAATATAATTTTAACAGTTATGACCCAATTTTCATTTCATATAAAATATTTTCCAAACTGTGGATATCTATTGTTATGTTTAATAGCTAGGCGAAAGATACCAAAGAGACATTATTTTTTTAGTCAGGCATATTCTACAAAAAAACTATTTTTCTTGTAGAATCCGACTAAACATTGATTTGGTAGTAGTGTTTAATTATTATTTAGAATATTATTTTTTTACTTCATCAATTATTAAAAAATGCAATACATTATAATTCCTGTGTGTTTACGTCTGAGAATATACTTGTCGGACATACCATCTAGTATACCAGATAGATTAATTTAACAATTATTTGAAACCTTTCAACAGGTATATGTCACGTGTCTACCATATTTATTAGTAAATCTTAACATATTTAGTAACACATGCATTTGTCTCATTGGCAATCATACCACATCTTCATATTTTTGTATTTGACAAATGTTGTATTTTTCCTAGAATTGGGACACAACAACACGACTCCGTGATATAAAGGTCGGGTTAAGACATAATAATCAGACAGTAAGTGTTACAAAATCCGGTTCATTAGTTTATCTATGCACGATTTCATAATTAGAATTTGATAATATTTCCATCCTAAACAAGGTAAGATAGTTGTTATGTTCACTGGTCAGTTGGAATTTTGTTCTATATTTAAACGATGTTTAAATCTCACATATTTAACTTTAATATGTTGAAACCCTTTAATCTTCTTTAGAATGTCACAAGCAGTAGCTTTTATCTATCCCATATTTCAAAATGAAATCGTTTTGTGAATAATTTGAAATTGTCTCTGAATCTGTAATTAATTTTAACTGCATTAAAGAGAATGTCAAATTATTTTACCTTTCCCAGGCTATTATAGTGGAGAGTTGTCTCATTGGCAATCGTACCACATCTTCTTTTTTATATTAGAACTTTTATAATTCTATTAATAATATATCTGTCAGGAGTTTCCGTTATATAGATACAATGGATAAGCGTGGATCCATTGTATCTATAACTTAAACTATTGTGTTAATTTCTTTTCAAAATTAAAGCCTTTTCTTAATTAGAAGGTATTGTAAGTGAGTTTAAATAACCATGTTATCGTGTCCAACGATGCATTGATAAATCTCAGATCACAATTAATT